GGGTTCCGCATATAAGTAGTCGTCCACATAGTTCTCATATTCTTCTAAAAGTTATAATTTATTAGGTTATAATAATTACAAACTTCGCAGTTACATTCAGTAATACTGCACCTAAGACAGGAGAGTAAAATTCAGTCGTGAAAAAGATGAAAAAATGTTTGATCTCCCCAGGATGCTGAAACATCAGCAAAAAAACATCAACAAATGACTAAATGTGCCGCTTTGTATATTACACACGGTTTAATTAATTAAAGCTTTATTACAACTCCTAATAGTATTAAAGCTACAAATACATTAAATGAAATTATCTCAGTTAAGTACAAACTCTAGTTAATCGCTCTAATAACAAAATTACAAGCCTACATTCAAGTTTTACTTTATAATCCATTATTTTGCCTTTATAACATCTTTCGCCTCTTCTTTTCTCACGCGTATGTAATGGGGCAATGTAGGGGTAATATGAGTAATTCTAAAAATAGCTCCTCATGTGACTATACAGGAAACTTATCGTTTAAAATAAATAATGTGAGAATTTTTTGTAATATGTAATATAAGTATATTTAAATTGCCACCCTTTATTATATTTTTTATTAGACAAATAAAAAACTTTGTCCAATAACTTAGCCGGCTAGTTAATTTACTTAATTGTGAGTCGTGCAGTGGATACTTTTTTTTATTTACAAATTCGCATCAACCCGAAGGTTATTAGCGAGAATCAGATTTACAATTATATATTAACAAAATTTATAGCTTTTAAGTAGTTTAACATATTTGTGAACGAACCATTTGCACCAAGTTTATTGAGATACCATAATTGATTCTTGCTGTGGAGAAAACTGGACAGTCTACAACAACATGTTTCACCGAGAGTTTAACGTTACACTGCTCATGTATACGTATTTTTAAAGTGTGTAAAAATACTTTTCTTTATTTTCCATTTTTTCATTTGTCATAAGTGTGTACAAAAAATATATCTTTTCATTTAATAAATAGATTGCCAGTTTGAGGGAAAACACGTTTATATAGCAAACTGTTATTATTTTTCATGCAGAATCACATCACGTAGTGTTTATACAGAATGACGTCACTCTTGTTACAATAATTTAGTAACACCCTGTATATTATACAAATATGTATTATTCAAATGAACTAAAAACCAACACTTTGAACCTGTGTAACTCAGAAACAATTGATTTCTGTGTCTTCAGGCAATGAAAACTTTGATCAGTAACATGACCAAAACTACCTCCCTTCAAAAGTTTCAGCAAAATTAACTGAAACCACTTTTACATACGAAAAGTACTGAGGTCCTTTGTCGATCGTCGGTATTTATGAAAGTCTAGTTAAATTTTTGAAGATACAAAAACTACAGAACTAATTTAAACATTTTCTGAATCATTGGAATACCGCAGAAAAAGAATATATTGTTAAATAAAGTTTGATATTTTAAATGCCTGATTAATTTTATTGAAAATATGAAATTTTAATATTGTAATAACTAGACTTCGGCAAATATGCATATTGCATATTTTGCATATTGTGCATATTTTATGCAAATATTTCATATTTTGGCATATTTGTATAAAAGTTTGCATAAAGTGCATAAAAGTTCAGATTTTTATAGTGTATTTGAAAATTTTTAAACATACCAATTTATTTCAATTCTTGTATAAAATTTTTTAGTCATTTTAATCAACAAATGATCTAAGTACGTAATCTCTACAGGTACAAAACATTTACAATTTCAAAGAAGATCAATTTAAGTAGCCCTCAACATTCTTAGAAAGTCTCGGTCACTGAGGCATTCAGTTGATTGGATAATTGCTAAGGGTTCGCTCATTTGCATTTTATGATCTAATCCCCAAATCTATCTACAATTTATTGTATCTTAACAGCAGGTAAACGGCTAATAGTTTTGTTCCTAATTTAGGGATTTTCCAAAATCTCCCAGTTTATTGAATTAGGTACCTAAACATTTCTAATTTGATGCTCAGATTTGTAAATCATTTTTGTTTTGATATTCAAAGCGTAAACACTCGTTGTGCGTAACAAAAAGGAAGATTGTGATTTTATAATGCCTAAAACAACCAGTGCTTCAACTTGGATTAAACCTTATAAAGAGCTGTCTATGGATATGGGAAAAAATCTACTGTTCAGTCTGTGGCAAAATTGTAAGTATCTAATATTTTCTATTAAATATCTAATATTTCATACATACAGGGTGTTTCCAAATGACACTTACAACGTTTGACTGTAGATACTTCTCGAAAAATTGAACAAAACGATATAGTTAATGAGGGGTCAAACTTATTTACTTTTCGGATACAGGGTGTTAAAATTAAAAAAAATTAAATTCTTTTAGTTAATAACAACAATAACTTTAAAACCAATAAACGTATTTACTTGAAATTTAGTACTCGTAGGTTGTTTTTAAATGAAAAATAGCTTCCTTTAGTGAGAAAAAATTGTCCATGGTACAATACAATGGTGTGTATTTAGAAAAATTTTTCACCTTTACTTTTTTTTATGAAGTCAGCTATTCTAAAGCACAATTATTTTTATTGTAATTGAATTAACAAAAAAAAAACTTTTGTTGAATTTTAAAATAAGTTATATGATGTACTAATGGTTAGTAACAAAAACTAATTTGTGGATTAATACTGCATTTAAAACACTTAGCGAGTGTTTTTTTTTTCAAACCAGTTATTTGATTAACCAAAAACACCTTGTATATTTTTATATTTTAAAGGTTGGGTTAAAATAAAGGTTTTTATTTTTATTTATAGATAGCATGTGAGAAGAAATTTCAGATAGACCAACATGTGAGAACTGCTTCACACATTGCAAAAAAAAGGAAAAATAGGAGGAAAACATCAAACTTCAATGGCTAAATGTTTCCAATCTACTTCAAAAAAATTAGATGAGCAAGAAACTTTTAATGAAGACTTGTGTCGCGCATTAGTGTCTGCAAACATACCGCTTTCAAAATTAGCAAATGTAAATTTTAGTTCGTTTCTAAAAAAATATTGCAAACTTAATGTTCCAAGTGATCGGTCTCTAAGAAGAAATAATGTGAACGGGCTATACTCGTCGGTGTTTAATTAATATTAAGGAAGAAATTGCAGATAATTATTTTTACATATCTGTAGACGAAACCACTGATTCCTTAGGAAAGTATATTGCTCATTTATTGATTGATGTTCTTAAAGAAGATACCTTACCAAAATTTCATCTTATTTCATGCCAGCAACTTGAGAAAACAAATGCTTTAACAATTTCGCGTTTTATACAAGAAACATTAGCAACTTTTTGTTCTTCCGACAACTATTCCTTCTAATAAATTACTGCTTATTTTATCGGATGCTGCTCCTTATTATGGTGAACGCAGGACAAAATTTAAAAATATTTTTCCCAGATTTAATACATGTTACTTGTGTAGCGCATGGATTAAACAGAGTTGCAGAGGAAATACGAAAAAAGTTTCCTCTTGTAAATACCATGATATCCAGTGTCAAAAAAGTATTTCTTAAATCTCTTATAAGAATTCAACTTTATAAAGAAACGCTAACTAACATTCCTCTTCCACCACAACCTATTTTAACGCGATGGGGAACATGGTTAGAAGCAGCTAATTTTTATGCAGATCATTTTGTTAAAATAAAGAACATAATTGATACGTTAGCAGATGAAAGTTCCCAATCTCTTTTGGATTCTAAACAAACTTTTCAGAGTAGCTTGCTTCAACAAGAACTTTCATTTATAAAATCAAATTTTAGTTTTGTTCAAAAAACAATTACTCAGTTATAATCACCAAAAGTGTCATTGTTCGAAAGTACAGCATTAATAAAATAATTTGCGCCATGTTGTCGGAACGTTAGAGGTAATATTGGAAAAGATATTTTAAAAAAATTTGAAGCTACTATGGAAAAAATAAAAGGTTACCATATTCTTTCTGAAGTAGTCAGTGTTCTAGCTGGAAATATTTCGGAAACAATTAATTTAGAACCAAATGTTTTGGTTAGTTTGAAAAATGCTCCCGTTACATCAGTTGATGTTGATCGAAGTTTTTCCATATATAAATATATGTACTCAGACAGAAGCCACAAGTTTTTGTTAGAAAATTTTGAACACCACTTGGTCATTTATTGTTACCATAATTCTAAATAAGTTTATTCATACTTAAAAATGATGTAGTTACTTAAAATAAATGTAAATCTTAATGAATAGTAGGAAATATTTAGTTATGTACACTTTTTTTTTAAATAAAATTGTTACTATTTTACGATTTTTTTATTTATTTGTATGCATATTTTGTAAAATTTTTGCGTATTTTCGGGTAAACACGTGCATATTTATGCACTATTTTCTACATTTTTATTTGCATATTTGCCGAAGTCTAGTAATAACATAAAAGTGTTGCGCCCTTTATTGTGGTATTTATCATATACGCAGTTTAGTGATCTGATTAGCTTGATATACATTTCCTTTTTATGTAAATAATGAATACTTTCTTTAATTGTTTGATGTAAATCCATTTGAACTAATTTGGTAATACTTAGCACTTTATCATCCTAGCCTATCCTAATTGTTGGTTTTGCTTTACAGAATCCGAAGACTTCGAGTAGCTCTGTCGTCGTAGCATCCTCAACTTTCACAGTAGACTTAAGACCATGCGCTAGACCTCCTTCTCTACAAACACAAAAAATTGTTGACAATCGCTTTGCTTTTGGCTACCCGCTTGTGCAAGAGAAGTTTAACATTCTAGTCCAATAATATCATAAAAATATAACAAAACAACGTCGTTAAACAAAGAAGGAATAGTGTTTATTTTTTATACGGAACAATGGACAATAATTCTACCTGATCTGATCTAATTGAATTTTAGTCGCGCCACGTCCATTATCGCGTCCGCACTTCGGTGAATCAAGTAATTTTACGTGTGATAAGTTAATTTTTTCGATTTTAACAAAACATATTAATATATACTAAATTTCGAGAAGATGGCTATGGTCAACATGAATAATCTTTTGAACGGAAAAGACTCCAGATGGTTGCAGTTGGAGGTGTGTAGGGAATTTCAGAGAAATAAGTGCTCCAGGCCGGATTCAGAGTGCAAGTTTGCTCATCCGGCAGCCAACGTCGAGGTCCAGAATGGACGAGTGACGGCTTGCTACGATAGTATTAAGGTAAGTGTTTGGTTTAAATGTACCATTTATAAACTCATGTAACTATGTCGTGTACATCTTATATCTTGCGATTAAATTTATGTTATGAAACTATTTTGTTGTGACATTTTTTACATTTGCTTCTCTATTTAACGGATATCTCTCTCTCTGTCTCTACTGCCTTTCCTTCCTAACACGTTCGCAGACAGTATGGCATAACAAAGTGTTTCCAGAAAGGCACATTTGTTAAAGACGTCAGTTCATCGAAAAAAAAAAACTTTAATGAGTATCAATTGTTTCGCCGAACGTTTTCGCCAAAGAGAATTATTTGGCTTCTTCAGGGCTGAAAGAGAATAAATTATATAATTAGCTACCATATATTATCTATTAAAAAACATTATTGGTCTTACCGTAACTTAGAATTGTCGAGTTAGGATGTTAAAAAACTTAGCTATTCTTTGTTTCAAGTTAAGAAAATAACATTACGCTTATGGAGATCAGTGTTGCCAAAACTCTCAGACACTCTCTTTTGTACGGATGTCCAAGATATTCCCTTTGCTTAATTTTGGAATTTTCATTTTCAATTAACATTTAACTGGAAAGTCAGAATAACTACTAAATAAAAGCCTTATTATCATTATGTAGTCAGAGAACGACATAAAATGGCTGACATACGCACATCGTATTATTTTAAGTTGCAATTAGTAATTAGATATACACATTCCAAGCAGTCATATTTTTCTACTGATTTCTTATGATTCATGGCATATCGTATTCTCACCGAAAAACAAATAAACTGTCGTTACTATAATTAAAATAAGATAAGATAAATTATCTTTTGTAAATACTATTTATCTAATTAAAATCATTTTCCCTACTTTTCATCTCTTGTTTTGAATGGGCACTTTGGTCAATTACGTTAAAAAACATTAATTTAATTCTCTGTTTGTGGAAACGAAAATACAAATTATACAACCCTAAAATTGTGCTTGTGTGTGTTTCGTAGGCAACGCCGCGTTGCTATCGTCCATAAGAAATACATGGCCCTATCTCCGCAATGTTATTTTCTAAACGTGGAACGTAGTATAGTAACAACATAGTGGTGTTTTTAAACTAATCTACTTTAATATTAATTTTCATTAATTAAAAAAGGTAACATTCAGTTGCTTTTCTTAGATACATCTCAATAAGATATTATATTAATAATACATGAACAATATACTATAATTTAAAAAAGAATTCAATTAAGAAAATTCTAAAATAATATTTCCCCAAACTGGGATTTAACTTCATTCGGTTTTACCAATGAATCTTAACGACACAAAGATTCAAATGACCTACTTGAATTGTCAGCACATGCGTTCTGAGAAACAGAACCTCACAGTTTAAACAATCAAAAATTTAGTTATTGCCGACAATTTCAAAGAATTACTTTCTTTTAAATGTAGTTAACATTGGTTTTTTGATTGACCTTGGGTAAACCTTTGCGTTTTAAGTTCAAAGCTACCATACATTTCCAACGTTATAAAAAACTTTTTTTGCACATAGTAACAAAAAACGCCTCATATGTTGTTACTAGCTAAGTTTTTTAACATCCTAACTCGACAATTCTAAGTTACGGTAAGACCAATAATGTTTTTAATAGATAATATATGGTAGCTAATTTTAATTTATTCTCTTTCAGCCCTAAAGAAGAAAATATTAATTATCTTTGGCGAAAACGTTCGGCGAAACAATTAATATTCATTAGAGTTTTTCTTGCAGATTTCCCCAATATTTAAGAGTTTACTATTTAACTTATCTGCAAAGATTAAATTTCCTTTATTTATATATATATATTATATATTAATATTTATATATTTATATTATATTTATCTTTATATATTTATATATATATTTATATATATATAGATATATATATATATGATCTTTTCGTATAGATACCAGTTGTATTGGGTTTTTTCAACGAAGAAGAACTTTACAAAGGGAGAGGGTATTTTAAAAGTTGTCTCTGAAGATATGATGTCAATAATCTAGGTATGCCTCCTCCAGAGAGAGAAATAGTTGCTCAAGTTTTGGTACAACAGTCGCTTCGGAAGTTTTTCAGGAATATGTTTTCAAATTTAGCACGGAACCATCGTTGGTTCAAATTAAACAAATTTTATTTTTTTTTTGTTACTTGGTAAAAAATTCTTCTAATAATTTAATTTTATCTGATTCATTTATATTGACAATTCAGACATACATTTATATATTTTAAAATAGACGACTTTGAAAATGATATTTACCGATATTGTTGAATTGAGTTCCTGGGACGACTTTAGTTCATTCGATTACATGAAATCAACTTTAACTTGAGAATATCCGTCACAAAAAAATCATAGCATGTAATTCGTCTTTAAATAGACAAACACATGTCATGGCGATAGCAATACTCTCATGTTAGTGATTACATAGAAAATTATAAGGGGAAAAACCAGGAAAAAACCTCATAATACTATCACGGCATGGTAAGTATTTGGTTGTGCGTTTAGTTTACCTTCAATAAACACCAAATTCTGATTTTATATGTTTGATATTTAAAAATCATAAATGATGTATCCTCTATATATTACTGACTTACTAATCTGATATTCTCCTTTTAATAACTTCGACAATTTGCGACACAATTGGTCTCCTTTGGCATAATTAGAGCCGCTTCTTTGATTTTTATTCTTCTTTCCATTTGTTTCCTTTAGGACTATATTTTAATAATTCCATTGAACCCTATGTTCATTATCCCTTGCGTGTTTACATATTTGAGATCTATCAAATTCTCTATTTTTAATAAGATTGATATTCACTTATTCTAACATTTAATGACCTTGATGTTTCACCTAAATAAAACTGATTGCATTACAAGGTATTGTTGTACATAGGTATTCATTGTTAGGTTTGGTTCTAGACAAAATAGATCTCAATACGTTTGTTGTTTGGAATGTTGTTGAACTGTTGAATTTATTTCCTATCCTTTTAAGTTTTTCTGATAATCTGATACAACTGTATATAAAACAATCGTATCTGAAAAAATGAACTAATCTGTGTAGTTTGTACATCAAAAACTTCTAAATTAAAGATAAAAATTAGTTAAACATCATATAAAAAATAAATTAAAACTTCCGGTTCTAGAAAGTTATTATAAACACTAAATCATTTTTTTGTGCAATATATTTTTTTGAGACTATTACTTCTTACTTAGTTTTACCTTGAGGTAGCGGAAAATACAATGGTTTATTAATGTTTTTCGATAATCTGTCTATATTACTTACAACAAATTGGATTATTGTTGATATACCCATTATTTGTTGAGAATACATTCTTCTTGACGATCATAATTAGAATTTTGGCACGGCTTCGTCAGTGATACATCCGTCAATAAATTTCTATTTTATTTTCTTTTTATCAGAGGGTGGACATCCATTTTTAAGTCGGTGCCCAATAATGTGAAACAAAATTTAATTTTGGCGTGCAACTATAAAAAACTTTCGACATTACTGATATATGGATACTTTTTATTATTAAATATTTTACGGTACATTATGTTTTTCTTATATAAATTCCACTTTTTTCAGTTATTAAAGAATAGTGAGAGGATTAAAAAAATAAACTAAATAATAAAAAACCCAAAACAACAAACAAACAATAATATTAACCACACAAAAACAAAAAAAAACAAAAATACAACATCACAAACACAAAATAAAAACACAAACAACCCCACAACAACTAACAACAAACATATTACAAAATCCAATACAAAAAAACCAATACCAACACAATTTCAACCCAAAACTTCCACTCCCCTCCACTCAAAACACCCAACTCCAAACCACACCCCCCAACTAATATCCCCCACACCCCCCCAAAACAACATACCCACACTCCCCCCAACAATTCACCCCCCCTAAAACCTAATCCCCCCCACACCCACCCCACACACCTCTACCCCACGATCCCATCCCCACATAATCTTTACCCCCCACCCCAAAACCCCACCCAAAACACATCCCCCTATTTATAAATAACTTAATAACCACCATAACCCAATCTACATGTGACAAAAATTATATAGTGTGTCATCTGTACAAACCCTAAAATACTATCATTAAATCACAGCCATTAGTACAACACCTATTGATTAACCTATCCGCGTCAAATGAAAAACCTAAATTTATGAAAAGTTCAACATTCATTTTGTCTTTGTGAAAATCTTCAAACCAAAGTATTGAATGAACCTAGCAAAATGGATATAAGGTTTTTAAATCTGTCATAATTTGGAGTTCTACTGACCTTGTTGGCTAATTCCTGCATTAATGTGAAATGTGTCAATCTCTGTTCTCCAAAATCGTTACAAAAAAGAATAAGTTTATTCACAACTGAAGATATATGATCAACTAGAGTAGGAAAAATACAATTTTTTCCCTGTAATCTTAAATTTAATAGATTTAAATGTTTCATAATATCAGTGAGAAAAGCTAAATCCCAAAGCCAATCTTTATCATTAAGTAACGAGCACTCACTGGGTAGTTCATTGTTTTCTTGCAAATATTTTAAGACGCACTCCTTCAAGTTCCAAAACCTTTCGAGTGCATTTCCTTTGGAGAGCCAGCGCACACTGCAATGGAGAAGTAAATCTCCATCTTGCTCCGTTTCTTCCGCGAACAGTTCTCGAAATTGTCGTCGATTTAATGCCCGAGCTCGTATTTTGTTAATGCACCGTGTTACAGGGTCAACAACAGATGACATGTTTAGGTCCTTGGCACAAAGAGCTTCCTGGTGAATAATACAATGGTACTTAAAAACTTTTCTTCCCAAATAGTTTTCCAGTAATGTAACAAACCCCTTTAGTCTACCAACCATGCAAGGAGCTCCATCTGTATAAACACTATCTAATTTTGACCATTCAACTTTGTTGACTTCGATTACGTTTTTAAGCTGTTAAAAAATGTCCTCTCCTGTTGTTGTGACTAGTTGGCGCAAAT